ATATATATTGATATTTATTTTGTATATATATAATTAAGTGCATGATTACATACTACACTAATATATTTTTAAAACGTTAATATAATATAAAACTTACACAATACCACCTACCGGAGCCCCCCAGTGGCACAGCGGTATTGTCTGCGGACTTACAACGCTAGAATCCGGGTTTCGATACCCGTGGTGGGCAGAGCACAGATAGCCCATTGTGTAGCTTTTTGCTTAATTACAAACAAACAAACCACCTACTGGAAAGGATCAAAAAGTAACCCACTTAAGATCAAATTATAAGGTGTTTTTTGAGTTGTATGAATGAATTAGAATCACTCTTAGAATATTCAATGTATGTAGAGTTATGTTTTATTACTGACTTTAGTAAATGATATTTTGAAATCTACGGAGAAGCTTTGAATTTTAATCAATTTAATAAAAAAAACAGAATATTACAGTTTATCAACACAAAATAACAAATCAATCTGCTTCAATTATTTAATCTATGCATACAGACGAGGGTTGCAGAAGTTGATCAATGAAAATGGATGGATTGACATGACCATGACTGTTGGTCGGTGTGGAATGTTTGATCTTATTAAAAGAGGGTGAGTCCACATCAACTTCTTACCCATAAAATATTAGTCTTACAATGTTAAAAACCGGTTATAAACTTAGTTGTTTAGTTTTTAAAATGTTTAAAGAAAGCGAGGCCACATTAACTTCATACCCATAAAATATTAGTCTTACAATGTTAAAAACCGGTTATAAACTTAGTTGTTTAGTTTTTAAAATGTTTAAAGAAGGCGAGACCACATTAACTTCATACCCATAAAATATTAGTCTTACAATGTTAAAAACCGGTAATACACTTAGTTGCTTAGATTTTAAGATGGAAATAATATGAAGGCAAAAATCCACAATCGTTTGTTAATTACTGCTGTCAAATAGTAGGTTGAGGATTATTTTTGTTGCTTGTAAATGTAAAATTTTCGAATTTCAACGATTACTTAGAATTATAGTTACCCAGTCATTCATTCAAAATGCTTCATTATAAGTGTAAATATATGTGTAAATGAAATTCATGAATCGACTGAGCATACTTACATGTAAATACGTCTGAACTAAAACTATTCTGTGACATGCTTGACGATGTTTTATGATCGTTTTGGAAATTATGAATTTTTGTTAGATGTAGAACACGCGCAAGAAAGATAGAAATATTTGGTTATCACACACACAAACGTAAGCAACATCAGAAATTATTAACTCCATTTCATTCATATGTCAATACAAAGAGTAAAAACTGCTTTTATATAGATCCTACACAACCCATGTTATGTTCTCATACTACTTCTAAAGGATAAAGATAAATACACGAAAAGAAAAACACACCCACAACATTGACTTACTGCACAATGAAATACGATTTATTAAAAATGGGGAACAGCCCCCCAAAAGACTCTACTCTCGTCGACGCACTACATCTGGAGTAAGAGTTGGAAGTGAGACACTTAGTTATATACATAACAATACATTTATATAAACATACCGTTACACAAATAATCTCACAAAAGCTCCATGGAAGGTTTTTTTTTTCCATTACCGTAATTGGCGTATATGTACGGATGAGAAGATGATAAAGGGTTAAAACATTATTAATCTTTTCTTACTGAATTCCATGTTTGAGATCTGTAACATGTAAATAGTCAATGGTTGTAACCTCAACCTTATTCTACTCATTTATTTCCGTTATTTTACTTCGACTAGCATCAAACTAAAGATGTTATCAGTACAAAATGTTAAAGTAGAACGCGTTTCTGACAACATACACGCTATAAGACTTACTTAGAACTTATATTTTTATAGGTTTTCAACAGTCAAGGGTGTAGTTTAGCGAGTTCAAACTTTGAGAAAATGTTTGAGCATTATTTCGACTAAAGTTCATGATATCACTAGAGTACCGCCCATAAAAACATGTTTCATAAAAGTTTCATCTTATACGTTATTGGCTAACTAACATGATAAGAGAAATATTGGATATTCTGTAAGAATTGTCTTTTCATGATGCAAGAAACGGTAGAATATTTTGCTGTATTTTGTATCCAGATTAAGCTTTAAAGAAACTAAGAAGATCTAAGTAGCCTAGAAATATTAGAAGGCAACTTTCCTAACTGAAAACACCTGAATTTTGTTTTCGATAGCTTCAAGCAGTGGCGAATGGATGTCCATGGTATCATACCTAACGACTTTAAGGCGAGAGGGGTGAGTTTAATTTTAAAATAGCTTAGAAGAAGCCGAGTCAGTGAACTTAGGTTACGTTAATAAGTTCGATACAACTGTATTTTTTATTTTTGTGTTAAGTCACTTTGATATGACTATGGTTGTCTGTCTGTTTTTATTTATTTATTCAAAAATACAACACTTAAAATGAAAGACATTCTGAGCTATACTTGCATACACAAAAGTATTTGTGCATGAGTATAATCACCGTTAGTCA